AGCTTAATAAAAACAATTCGTTCCTCGCTGTGCTCAGAATCTAAAATATCCACTTAAGGTTAAAACATTAATGAAATTTCCAATCAAACTTTTAACTTGACTCAATGAATTGATTAGGCAATTAACTTTGAACGTGTAGTTTTTCAATTAACATAATTGAATTAATGTTATTGTTCATTAACTTGCCTAGCCTTGATAGTTATTATCGTTTCACCAAAATAGTTAATTTCGGTTTTCCGGACAATTAAATTTATAAACGTACAAATAATAGCCTGAAGCCCCGAACAAGTTTCCTCATAATATTTAAATATAATATACAATATGTTTCACGTTCAAAAAGCAACATGAATGTCTTTCATCCGGGTTGATGAGTTTTTTTTTTCTGTGAAGATCGAGGGTTCTACAATACATATATTGTGTGGCTATTTTCAAAATTTCAACCACTGTGATATACGCATGTGTGCAGTCAAATTTACATTGCCTTAAATTAAAACATCCATTTTTATTACTAGATTCGAATAGTTCTATTTTCTATTTTTTTTCCAAGGAACTTCAACTAATAGGTAGTACAATATTTTCTATCCTAACAATTTTAAACGTATGCTATTATTATGCATGTGTGTGTCATTATCTTTATTTATAATTTTTTTCCCAAAAATAGTTAATTCGATTAAATTACTTAACTTGCAAGGCCTTGGGTTTTAATTTTTTTTTTTTTTATAAACTCAAAGTAACCGTATCAAAGGTGACTTTTAATTGGATAAAAATGTGTTTTAATCAAAGTCGCTTGGAAAAATAAATAGTACTATTCGAACTTGCAGGAGTTAAATACATAGGTGTTTGTGTTAAAAGAAAATTAATAGTTTAACCGCGAAATTACAAATTTTCTAAATATTGAAAAATGTTCAGGGTTGTAAATATTACTTAAATTAGATAGGTACACAAACGAGAAATATCGTCCGTGTTTCTTTAGTAAATAAACGAAATCCAGTAACACGCGTTTTTTCGCAGATTCGTTCCCGAAGTAGTTCTTGTAAAATTAATGAAATCAAAGGAACGAGGTCGTTTCAATCCGTTCCTTTCGAGTAATGATAATAATATTATACCGGTAGCGGTAACGCAACATTAATAAAACATCATAAATTAATAAATCAACGTTACCATACTCACTGTTAAGAGGACGTCACAGTTACAATATTTGAGTGTAAAAACTTGTACGATATTATTATTTTTTACAACAAGGTTAAAACATCTGCATTGAGATTCAATTAAGTTGTAATAATAGCGGTTTACAATAAATTATAACAATAATTACGGATCGTTACGCGCAGATTTTTTACAAATCGTTAGCGAAAAAACGCCCGCTATACGGCGATGAGCGTAACTCGGTGAATTTTTATGATGGGAACTACGGGGAGAGGGGGTAAAGAAAAATGATTAAAATGATTAAGTTCTTATGGCTTTCGATGAAGTAATGAATTGTATAGTTTCCGATGAATTAATCAATTGTATTTATTATGGCGGAAAACGGGGCGGTGAAATTAACGTGACATGCATTGTTGTACGCGGCAAAATGTATAGAACAAAATATAAAGTTCGATATTGCCAGGTGGGTGCGAAAAGTAATATTTAGTTTATTTATTTATTATAAATCTTTACGAATGAGCTTTTAATAAACACAAATAGATAAATTGCAAAAAAAAAAATTATATATATATTACATGCTCGGGAAATATGAAATTTACTTTTAATTTAAGGAGAGGTCTGAATTACCTAACAGCGTTAATTTATTGGTTCAATGATTAAGTAATTGGAATAGCGTCTAGGAATGTGAAATGGAGCATTAAGGCGCAACTCTGAAATTAATTAAAAACAGGGGGTTGTTGAATCGATTACCCCGAATAATGGGCCACATATTTTTTTTTTTTTTTTTATCGCATTAAGTCGGCAGCTCACACAATGATAAATAATTGTGAACGAAAAAGCGGTTCTGACCGCAGTAGTATCGCTACTAGTTTTCTCCATCGTTACCAATGTAACCCAGAAAACGACAAAAAAAAATCAAATAACAAATAAAAGGACTTAGAAGGTGAACTGCGGACGAATTTGGATAAATATTAGTTTGAACATAATAATAATTAAGTACCTTCGGGGAGAAATTCCACATCACTTGATGTAATATGTGAAAAAAATGGACCCTTTGTCTAACAAAGATTAAAAAAATAAAAAAGTGAGATTTTCCAGAAAAAGTAATGGAAATTTCGAAAAAAAAATGTTCAAAGTACAAAGTACCGTGCCGGGCTTAGATTCACATCACGGTATGACTGGGAAAAATCACTGTATTTTTACTTACTGTTGATGTGTTATTCTAGAAAAAAAAATTTGTTTTTGTAAGCTTATAACGTCTGCTATATTCGAAATTTAAAATAAATTAATCAACCTATCATTGTAATATAACATCATAGATAAAAATTTAACTCATTGTTTCAAATTAAATTAAAAATACAAAATATTTCACATTATCTTAAGAACACAGAATATTGTAATATACGTGACCACCGAGTTAAACCGACCACTATAATCGATAGTACGAGAAAGTCAATTATGACGGCGAAAACTTGAAAACACTTTGACTCACCATTAGTGGCCTAATCTTTGCCCCTTATTTTAATTTTTGTTCATCGATCGTGATATAAATATAATGTAACTGTGTCGTTAAACACAAAATGAATGTCAATAAATCAGAATTTCGTATCAGTTTTAATATTTGAAGCGAATATTACTATTTATTCGAAGATTGTGTAATTTACACCGTTGATATAGGGAAAATTAGTTTATCCGGGACCTCCGTATTAAAGAACAAAAATAATAATTATATTGGGCGAATTAACATTTTTCCCCGATCTTAAAAATTGACTGAATTACAGCTAGTCAAAATTTCAAATTGAATTATTGAACTTTTCAACAATCATCATATCATTTTTAAATTTTCGTGTTTTTTTTTATGTACCTGCTTTTTACACTTATAGGATTATTGTCATAATTTCATATTTCGGGTTCTAAGCGCAGTGAGGAATGTATTGGTGTTACAATGGTGTTTATTTTTTCAACTTTTTTTTTATACTGTGTACAAAATTTCTCCAAGAAATCTTGCTCAAATCAAAACAAGACAAGAGATCTTTTTTGTTCGATTTTAGCTCTCGTTAGTACTTTAGAAAGTTCACTTTTTGAAATTCTTATTAAAATTCGAGATAGGTAATGAGGAAAACTGGTTCTTTAGGTTAAAAAAAATTAAATGATTCAACGTTTAAAAAACAGTTGTTATTGGTAACAGTTTTTATTATTTTTTGTTATTAAGTTTATATTATTTTAATCTTTTTTGAACGAGCTTTGTTATCGTGAAAACGCACATTATTGAAAAAACAATTTGACCGAACTTCACTCAGAATCGTTTTTCATTAGTAATGATTAATTATTGCGTATCGATATGAATTAATTCCCCCACTATAACCAACCTTCCAAACTTATCACGTACAAAAGTGCCCCACCCATGATGTCCGTCTGTTACAATTTATATCCTAATAATTCCAGTGATAATTTTCCAGGTATTTTCTTTGACAATAATATAACGCGTCTAGAAACACAAACACTACAAAACATCTAAGTACCTATCTGTCGAAAACGATTATTTATTTATTTATTTATTTATTAGAATATAAACGCCGAGCGGCAAATACAAAAACAAAATCTTTAATAATTAATTAACAAACATAGTGAAACAGTATTATAAGAGATTATAACAATAGTTAATAGTTTAAAAGGAAATATTATATGGTGTAGACAAAGGTCAATACAGATTCGCCAGCTTAGGCATTTTATCCAATGGCTGATTATGGTTATACGAAGTTCAGTGAGCTGGAATATAAAAAGAAGTTTGGTTCATGGTGTTGTGTATGAGAACTTTATAAGACACACTAGAGAGGTCAGGAGCATCTAGTAAATTGTTGAGGAGAGCGTAAAGAAACCGAAGGCCCGCCTCGTTCCTGCGCGAAGTCAGGTAAGGCAAATTCAGGATACCAGAAATAAAGGAGTAGTCATGATTAGGAGATGGCAAATTAAGTATGAAAATGACACATGATAAGAACCTGTGCTGAACGTTCTCGACTCGCATTTAATCCTCAGCAAGATAAGGATGCCAAATAGCGCAATACTCTATAATTGGCCGGACAAGAGCACAACACATAGAACGAAGAGAATTAGCTGACCTGAAGAGCCTGGAAATAATGCTCCAATAGAAAAACAACAGGAGACTTTTTTTTACTAAATTATACATCCAAATTGTTTTCTTAGTCATGAAATGGACTTCATTACGTTATTATCTATGTTTATTGGAACTAGCAGAATCTTAATTTACCATTTCGAAGAAGGTAAAATACGAAAGTTCCACTATAAATTGAGTTTGGTCGGATCAGAATTTCTGGTGGAAAACTTGTTTTGCACACACATAAAAAAAACTAATTTAATTTAATTTTTGTGTACACAATAGATATAGGTATTTTTAATGAAATATATTTACAATTATTTGTCGAAATTCAAGTCAGCGTTTATTATTATGAATACTGTTTCATGTTGATTAAAACGTGGGTAGTTAGATGCATTGTTAATAAATGTTTTAATTTTTTTGGTTGCATTTATACAATAGTCATAAAGTCACAATAATTGGAAATAACTTAGCAGCACTGTGCTGGAGGCACTAATTGTTGATAAAATAGGTAAAACTGTATATTGAGATTTTTTTTTTTATATAATTGTACTCAATAGTTAATTATTAAAAAAAATTAAAAAATAAATACAAAAATGTAAATTAATAATGTTATTCTTTTAATAACATTAAAATATACAAATATTTAAAAAAAAAAACAACTATAAATACAACTTCAGTGAAAATAAGTCGGACTCTCTTTAAGCACAAGAAAACATTGGGTTTTGACACTAAAATATTATAATTGCAATTTCAACCCCTCAATGTCATTGTCGCCCGCAGTACTCATCAACACAGTTTCCGCAGCAGCATGACATTCTTGTTCTAGGACACCAGCAAACACCTCGAAACGGTGGTTAATGCCATCGAGGAGATGCACGCTCACCAAACCACCTAGTCCTCCAACGGTCGGTCTGCTGTATCCATAGAATACTCTTCTAGCCCTGCTGTGAACCAGCGCCATGGCACACATCACACATGGTTCCCTAGTCACATATATATCGTAACCCGTGCACAGGTATGGCCCGGTCTTGTCACAGTCTGTGGATGTGTTAGTTGGCTCCACGGGTCCCCACGCTCCGCCACCCTGAGTTTTAGCCACGTTATCCACGACGCACATTATCGCGTGCTTAACTGGATGTTCAGACCTCAAATCACCACTCTTTGCGACTATTTGGCCATTTGTAGGGTCGACCACAGCAGCGCCAACCCCATCACCGATACCAGCACACTCCAATGCTGTCCGCATATGGCTATCAATGGCGGCCAGCTCTAAATCATTGAAATATTTGCCAGCTAACACGGACTCCAGCCGTTTATCAGGATGAAAGTTGCTCGGCCACAGTTCCCGGGCCCATTGGTTTTGAAGGCACGTTTTAGGCACAGACCGCGGAACTGGTACAATCGTTGGTCGACCAGACAGGCCGTCAAAGTTGAACCCCTTGTTTCTTAGCTCAGCTACACATTGCTCTGGGCTCAAACCAATGGCAGGCATCAGTATGACAGTCTGTCCTTTGACACGTTTCAGATGACTCAGAGCAGGTACTGCAAACTGCGGTTCTGCAAGGCTCTTAACGATTTTACTGGTGCACGTCCGATCGATAATTAAGTCCACAAACACATTCACTGTATCAACTGTATCAGCCATCACATTCTTTGGCAATACTGGTCTCAATGTCCATGTCAACGGATGTTTAACACGTTTCGGTTCCATTTTTCAAAGTAACTGTAACAAAGATTTGTTTTGCAAGTTATAAAATAGTGTTTATTGTTTCTTAAAACATTAGATATATAAAAAATCCAGTTAAAATATAATGACATTAATAGTATGGTAATTATGATATTCTATGATATATATAAAGTGTTTTATCTGGTTAAACAGATTTTTCTAACGCTGTTGATTAAATTTTTTGGATTTTTTTTTTCAATTGGTTTGTCTCTGAGGGGGACATCGAAACGCTTAATTAAAACAGCTATAATTAAGAAATTATTAATTGGATATGAATCTGTGATACATTACAATTTTTTAAATTATATTTTATACAAAATGACTATTTTAAAAATTGTCTAAAGTTAATAAATAAAAAGTTATTTGTTTTTTGTCTTTAGGAGACAAAATTAAAAAATTAAATTTTTCTCTAAAACAATGTCCCCCCCCCTTTAAAGACAAATTGATTGTAAAAAAAAAAAATTGAAATAAATTTAATTTTAACAGCGCTAGAAAAATCTGTCGAACATGGTGAAACACACTGTATACATGAACTGTTATTATAGACACAATATCCTTAAAAGATGTTTTGCAATGGTAAACTCGCATTTAATAATATTAGTAAGTTACGTACCTACACTGTTTAAGTTAGGAACATTTAAACGATTATTACAATTAAATAATTTTAAAATAATGATTTTAACAAACTCTGTAAGTAAACTGGATAGCCTAAATGTAACTTTATTTATAAACATTTGACATTTGCACAATTGTGTTAATGGAAACTAAAAATTATAAATATTATTAAATAAGTTAAGCCAATATTATATTAAAAAAATATCTTTATTTTACAAATAATATTATTTACATTTCAGGATTATTCCAAAACTATTACAATGGAAAATAAAATAATAATTTTTTGAGTTTTTGAAAATAATAAACAGAAACAATAACAAATAACATCAAGTTATTAATTTAAAATGAGATAATAATATAATAATAATAATAATAATAATTTAGTAATAAATTATTACTTTTAGAGTAATATTGTTTTATTTGTGAATAATTTCATATACAATATGCATGATTTTATTTTAATTTAATTTTGTGGGAGTCATACTGTTTATATATAACTATAATTGTTTTTATAAACAAAATTAACAATTTCTATTTTGTCAGTCTTATTGTAATTTGATTAGACATCAAATCGATGACATGCAGAAAATCCTTCTTCATCATATTCTTCTTTGGTCACTGTAAGAGAATAAAAGTCTCGATCTTTACTGATTAAGTTCCCACCTTGCCAAGCATATGTAACAGGACTGAAATTAAAATATAAATTACAAACATTATTGTTTTCTATAACTTAATAACATGACATACTTTTTAGGAACAGTAACTGAAACATCATAGATATCAGGAGTGAGAGCCCTCACATCGTTCCTTAGACGTTCTTCAAAACCAGGAAAACATCCGTTACCACCAGTCACAATAATGTTCTCAAATAAATGAGGTCTGGTCTCTTCAGGGCACAAGTTTATACTATGTATAATTGCTTCTGATATGCCCATTTGTGGAATTCCAATGTCATTTGGGTTGAATAAGACCTCGGGTATAGTGAAACGTTCATTGTTCATTCGCAAAATTTGCTAAGTTTATAAATAGTAACATTTAATAATATGATAATAGATAGTCATAAATGTTACTCACCTGATCTTTATCTGTGCTATTACAAGAAGACTCATCTAGTGTACGTATATAACCTCTATTCACAGTCGTATAATCAGGCAAAACATAATCCCTAACAATAGTGTTCTTTGGCCATTTTAATTTTGCAATTTTATGATCTTGTTTAAAATCTGTTGACACAAAACACAAGTCTTCCTTGCATTGATTCATGACATAAGTTTCTTCCATAACATGCAATTGTCTGTATGATATAACTTCTTTCAGGTGATTAGTAAGAATTTTACCACCAATATTAATGCGTAATATTCCAGGTTTGTATTTTTTTTGTAAAATGTATGGTACTATATGAGTAAAACTATAGCCAGTTTCAACAAGTAAACAACACTGAGCGGATGGATTATCATGGTGATAATGGTAACAAGACAAATTTCCAGCTAAAAAAATACAATAGTTTACTAATTATGTTTAACTAGCCAGATTAAAATCATTTACCATTAGTGCGCAATAAGGATCGGAATTCATATTCTTCAAAAAACATTTCAGTCATTCCTTCTTGAATTGAGCTAAAATTAAAATAGGGTTCTGTCACAATTAGTGGCATTTCGTAAAAATTGGCTTTGCAGCAATCTTTACTAAATATATAATCCCAAACTGTTTTTTGAATATCCCAATTTAACAAATAGCCCTAGAAATAAATGCGTGTTTAATATAATATACAATCATTATATTGTTGGTGTTTTGTTAAAATAGCGTTTATCAAATTTCACTTATTTCCAGAAAGCAAAAACAAACCGCTTTGTAAATTAAACAGCAAAACATTTTTTTAATGATGTTTATCATGGAAAATAATAAAATTACTCCTTATAATTATCCTTCTACATAACGTGTACGCGTATTAAATATGGTATACATATCCTTTTAACAAATCAGTGTCAATTTAATTATATTTTAAAAGGAGGCCTGGAGATCTTTTAGTCGATAAAACTAACTAAATTCTCTATGCTTAAAACATACTTATATAACCAGTTTATGCTCTTCATTTTTTTGATGCCAAAAACACATATTTTTCTGGTTTTTAGTGGTAATACGCCTTTTTAACAAAATACCATCGATATTAAATATTGTTTATAATAAGTATTTATATTACATTTAGGTAAACATGCTACTAAAGTGTAAACATTTATTATTGTTAGTGAAACCATTGATTTTTAGAATATATAGATATAACTTGTGTTGCACAAAATAGTGGCAATAGTTAGAAACCAGTTATTTGCTGGCGATGGTAGGTAAACAGTCATAGTGTAGTCTAGAGATGGCGAACCTTTTGATACCCTTGTGTCAACCACACATTTTTGGTTTGATTTTACTTCTCTGTGCGTCAACAAATTGTTTGGTCCTTTTTTTTTTTCTGCTTTTAACATAGATAATTAACTTAACGTCTAAATTGGACTTTTTAAGTATTAAACATTAAAATAACAAAATCTGAGTCAAAAATATTTGTTGAATACAATTTATTATTATATATTAGTGTTTTTAATGGGAAATTTGTTGTTGCATTTTTACAGCTAATATATAAATCCTGAAATTGTAATTAGCAAATTTCAATTGAATACTTGTTGCCTGTTCTAAGACAAATTTTTAATGTCGACTTAATCAAATTCAAATGTAGAACTAAACATTGTCAATAAAGGAAACGCTAAATTTTTCATAGAAGAGAATTAATTTTGTAAACTATTCCATTCGATAAGAATTAGATGTAGAAGGTAGATGTTCCCTTTTAATATCACTGTCAGTTTCATAATATTTATTTTCCAATTCGCTATTTAAATCAATACATTTTTCTCTTCCGAATTACATTTTCTTGAAACTCTATAGATTCCATTTCTAAATATCAAATTATTTTTTAACCATAATTTTTTTTTTTTTTTCATAGAAAGTGAAATAAAAAGTATAAATTGTTTAAATTGATGTTCTACCGAAACCGTATGCGCGTGCCACTCTGTGACATAGGTCCGCCATCCTTGGTGTAGACTGTTGGGATGTGGACTACCACCCGTTACGTTATGACGAGGTACACCACCGTCGCCAGCCAAAAATTGTTTTCCAATTGTCCAATAGCTCGGCTTGTCTGTGTATTATGAAATCAATGGTGAAACCAATCGTGTAGATCACCCAAGCAGCTAATGTCTCTACATAAGATATGTGTTTGTATAATATTTCAAATTTTAAATTTACATGTTTTCTTTTTCTTTTCAAGAACTTGACCCGGTTTAATGAAAATAAATAACAGGTATAAAAACGAACAAGGAACCGCACATTTGATTACAGTTTCAGTTAATATTAAACTCGACCGATATTATGTCGCGTGTTGCGAAACGGCCGTACCTTCTGATAACCTAGCATGAAGTACAATCCCGACTTGTCTCTGCATTCTGATAGCTGATCGCCGATAAACGTCCGACGCCGTTCGCTCTTCGCTTTCATGATGTAATTGGGTATGATTCTGAAAACAATAATTATAATATGGCGTTAACGTGTATAGTCCACCGCGTCGTTTGTACGCCATTTACTTGGGCGTCTCGTCACCCGTGATCCCGACTTTGGCCGAGTACGCTCCGTTGTCCAAGATGTAACTTTTCGTGACCATCGCGAAAACAATAACGAGAAATGAAAAAATGAACACAACACTGTCGAACGGTTTTTCGGTAAATAATATGATCAACAAGCGATAACGAGGCGACACCGTCGTCGCCGAACCGCAACCCGGGATGCCGTCGCGAGCACTATCGGGTGTTATCAACTCGTTTACAGCGGGAGCTGACGACAACAATGTCGCGTTATCAGCGTTATCGTTGTTCGGGACGCGAAACACGCGGGACCACCGTATAGTGTTTGTACTCTGTGCGCGGGACCGATCGTACGAGTGGTTCTCAAAATGCGTTCTCGCCGATTGGTTCTCAGAACGCGGCGGTGACGGAATTTAAAAAAAACCAACAAAATTCGAAACCGGACGAATCGAAACGCGCGCGGTCATCAAAAATAATTACGGCGTCCGCCGGTTCTCCCGTTCTCGCGCGTGCGGTTTTTTCACCGGACATTTCCGAGGTGAAAAACAAAAGAAATGGCCGCGCGGAGCGCGATTCAGCCCTCGGCGGGGGCGTCCTCGGGGATGGAAACGCCGCAATAATCAATACGGCGGGACCGCACCACCGCACTCGCGGCGGGTTGATCGGATTTCTGCGCCAGCGCACCCGTATACAGTCTGCGTGCGTACGCGAGCAAGTTGATACCGAGGTACGTGCGCCGCGTATGCGTGCGCGTCCGGACAGACGACAGCAGTTTTCCCGACGCGCGCAAACCGACAACAGCAATAACAACAGAAACGAACAAACGGAAAACCGTTTCGTTCGCGTATCGGCATCGGCATAGGCAACGACGACGACCGCCGTACCGGCCCCGTCTTGCGCGGCTCTCCCGCAGCAGCAGCAGCATGGCCGATTCCGAGTTCGAAGAGTTCCGGCAGATATTCGAATCGCTGCCCCAACATCTGAAGGCGTCCGCGCAGACGTACACGTGAGTATTTTTTGTTGTTTCCCCACGGTGTCCGTCGATCGCGTCGGGGACGGCCGCGGGTAATCGTCTCGCGAGCCGCGTCCCCGTGCCGCGGGCGCCTACGTTGTACGGGACGCGGACACCCGTCCGGCGGATCCGCCGCCCCGTGAAGACGGTCGGCGTCGCCGGTTGTCGCACGATTTCCGTCGACGCCGCGGACACACGCGTGCGGCGACTCCTTAAACCCGGGAAACGCGTTGCTTTCGGACAGTGGCGAACGCCCGAATCGCGTAAACGTTGTGTGACATTGTGCGGTTACACGTACGCGGCCCGCGGGTGGGTGGATATGGAGGGGCGGCAATACGTTCCCCTAACCCGTTGTGTTCCCACACCGGGGTACAGTACGCGATTGTGTACGTTTAGTTGACAAATCGCGGACATACTGCGTACGCTCTCTCGAACGGTTAAACAAATATTCGCGGTTTATAGTGCTATTTTTGTAAAACGTGCCGTTGTTGTTTTTTGGTAATTGTAATTTAATAACTTTATAGTGATTTTGTACATTTAATACATGCGGCCCTATAAAAACACTATAAACCATAAGAAAAAAAAACGCCCGTATAAAATAACCCGTGTAAGAAACAAGCTGTTACTTTTGTATACTTTCTCGAAATAATTGATGTGAACACCACTGTCCTTAACCCTCCTAGTTACTCGGCCACTGTTGTGGCCGAGTAAAATTATTCTTGTACTGTAATACAACGAACCTTCTTGGGTGTTTGTCAAACGTCAAAATAGAAGAGTTCAAGACGTTATTTTTATTTATAAAATATAAATGGATCAATCAGCAATAGCTTCCTCGTTAGCCTAATCGATACAACAAGTCGTCCATCCAATCCCCCAGACCATAGAACACTTCGGAGCTCCGTTTCTCCTATCAACAGAGTTTTGGTCTCACGTAACAGTCAAAAAGATAACATAGACATTTTCATTTCTTTCGTCAATATTTTGTACGCAACGGTTTACATAGGTATATGAACTTGAAAACGAAACAAAATCAATTACCCACAAACAATCGAATTTAAAATAGCGCAATCCGCAATATTTAATCAGTTACTTGACGATAGCGATTATTTCCGTGAAAATTTGAACTTTAAATGCGTATAAAAGAACACTGTTTCGTTACGCTCAACTTTTTGTTTTTACCATTATGCGCATTAATAACATGATGAAATTCGAGTAATATTTTCAAATGTTCTGCTCGGCTAAAAACAAAACCAAATTAAAACTCGAATAACGAACTCAAAAATTTCAAATATAGATTAACTAAAAAAAAAAAAATCAACAGAATGATTTGAAAATTTTACTAGGTACCTACGTCTATAAATGACCAATATTACTATAAAACGATTAGCTGCAGGCCATGTGAATTCGTATGTATAGTAAAAATTAGATGACAAACCACGATTAATCAGAAATAGATTCATTTGAAAACGCATTGGGGTGTATCATTATAATATTGTCTTCCTATAAAAACGGCACACCGTGAAAATAATAATAAATATTGTGTATTTTCTACTTCGAGTCGAATACGTAAATAAATATCATAGTAATACAATGAAAACTGATAAGTAATATTCGTCTACATGATATCGGATATCGTGGGGGGGGGGTGAGTTACAAAACCGATCCGATATATTCCGGAAAAAATAAAATGTTTGTAATATTTCTGTAATAAGGAAATTCGGGTTTTCAACCGAAATATCGGCTGGTTTCAATATCTGCTCGTATTAATCAATTTCAAACATGTAGGATCGGACATAAAGTTTTATAACATATCTGTAGCGAATTTCGGGTATAGAAAAAAAAAAGTAATATCGGCTCAGCGCTATAGTAATGCTCGTAGTTTTGTCACAATTATTATAGAATACAAATTACAATTCACATTAAAAAGTACGAGTGAAATGTATAATCTTTGAGAATCATTAATTATAAACGGGCACCTACTTCATTTAAATGCGGTAACGCGAAACGTCTCAGTCAGATGGATCGAACTGGAGTTTTTTTTACGAATGGTTCGGTAGTAGGTACCTATACTAATGTCTGAACCACAATAATGCACAATTTAAGACCGTTTTCAAAATGACTTACTTTACTATTAACTAAACTACTAAATATTCTTAAACGGAAATATCAGTTTCGAATAGTTCTATTGGTTTTTCAAGTAACTTTAAGTGGTAAGAAAAAACTTGTTCACTGTTTCACGAGAAAAAATTATAATTAAAAATTTAAATTACACGTGCATAAAAACATAATTTTTAACTTTTTTTTCAAAACAATACTTTTAAAAATGAACTTTGGATGTACACCTAAGTATCTTAGACAATTTTCGAGAGAGTAAAAAATTGCATCCGTCAAAGGTACTTGACAACTGAAAAGGAGGCGACTGTTCGGATGCGTTTATCGTAATAGTTTTATCGCACATTGTAACAACGTGAAACTATTATGAAACTCTCGCTCTTCCTCGAAAAAAACCCATCCCGATCTAATAAGTTCATCCGGCTGAACAATTTCGTGTTACCATTTGAATGACACGGTATAAATATATTTTTGAAATGCTATTACTACAGTTTGAAGTAGTTTGAAAATAAAAAAATATATATACATATAAAGGTAAAGAGTCCGTGTTCCTTTTACACAAAACCCCAAGGCCGCCCGCATGTGGTAATTATTGCGGCACCGTAGTTTTTTGGTTTAAAAAAAATATTACCATTGTTTATATAGGACACACCTATACGTGTAAATGGTGTGCACGCGTGGCGTAGCCGTGGATCAATCTGAGATCATATTTAATTATATGGACTTGGCCCAATGGCCCTGTAGAATACGGCCGACGTAATAGGCGAAGTGATAATTTTCTGTGGGGGGAGTGGGAGGATGGAGGGTAGAGTTATATAGCACCAAAAAAAAAAAAAAAAAAAAAAATGTTCACATTTATACGCACACCAGTGGGTGTCGTCGCCTTCACTTCTCCCTTAAAAACCTTTAGGTTATTTACAGCCGAATGCAGGAGAGGGTTTCGGGATTCTTACCCTCCCATCTTCGCTAAATATATATGTATAAAACTTGATAATTTGTGCAATTATGAATATAGCCTATTATACCCACTATTGATTTGCAGCGGTACAGCGATTTGTTCAACCGTCCTCCTCCTCCCACGCCAACAGCATTCCTTGCGTTAGTCCCTAAAGCAATGAATTATTGCTATTACCTCGTTATTTGTTCCATCTAATTAAACATAATCTAAATTAAAATATTATCATGTCTGAGTGTTGTTCTGTTCCCGGGCACGTAGGTAATAAATTATGATTGTAAACACTGGTTACTCGAAAATTCGAAAGCAATTACGATTAATTTATTTTTTTTTTCAGGGGAAAGTATTTTGGCTCATGCTCGTTCGCGAAAAACGGGAATGGCTGAAACAACACTGTTATTTGAAATATAAAAATATCTCACAACGGGGAAAGGGAGCCATATAAACGAATATTGTAAGAGTACCATAGGCGGAGGTCAGGAGACTATGGTGACTTAGTTCCCAAAAATCACAGAAACGTATCCTGAAATTCGTCCTTTCTAATTTTCTACTAAATATGATTTTTTTTTTTTTAGTATAGCCATTACTGAACTCGATAATATTGCATTCTATAATAACGTATAATAATAGTAGTAACTGCGTGTGGAGTTCGACAAAGAAACCTTGTTACATTTTGAAAACCATTTCATTCACCACCAAACTTAATGATTTTACGACTAATACGAGGGTGTATTAGTATACATTACACCAGGTAACCTACTATAATATAGGTGTATACATATACAGGATGATTCACTAAGCGTCCCATTTTTTTTTTTTTGTAATTCAATTTTGTACGTAATTCAAATTCTGATTTTTGGAATTTTCAAATGTAGTTGAAAATTATTAAACGAGTATTCGAAAATATCGGCTTTAATTACATTTAAAAATTCCAAAAATCAGAATTTGAATACGTGCAAAATTTAACAAAAAAAAAAAAAAAAGAGTGAACACGCTTAGTGAATCACCCTGTACATGAAAATATCTTATTCGAACTTTTTTTTCAATAGGAAAAACAATACCTGTGAACGATATTGAAATTATTTAACCAGACAAATATTCTGGTCTATACTGTTAAGTATAATATTCCACTATAGTTTATACTATACCATAACCTAATTTTTTACAAAACAATCCTTTACTGACTTGATGTATTTTTCTATAGTTGTCTAATTAATATATACCCACTACATATTATTTACGTAAACTATATGCGAAATCGTATACTATAATATAGTATACTATCATGCTAACATTTGCTTTAGTTCCATAATTTTCTTTTAATTGGATTTTGTAGTGAAAAGGAAAAGCGAAAAATGAAATTAGGTTTCTGTTATTTGTAGAGTGCAATTTTGTATTTACAGGGAAATATCTTCGTAAATATAGAAACAATTTATAAAACATTATCGTATTTCAGTATCCCGCAGTTAATAACATTTCAATTTCGATTTTCGGGGATAAAAATTGTATTATTTTATCATTGTAGCCCGGCAAAGGGCGTAGGCGAAGAAAAATAATTAACAACAATTACATCTAATCTAACCTAATAATTTAATATTTATCACCCGTTAATAACGCACAATGTCAGTTTATATACATTTTGAAAACCTCGATAGAAATTATCTGGCAATTGATTAGGTACTTAAAGATAGCAATAATTTCGAAGAAAAATGTTTAGGATGTGGTGTAAGGGTGACGCACCTGTTATTTGGACATAATTGATAATTATTTTTAGTTTAATTTCTTTTACTAGGTTATCATATCAATACTAATAAAGGTACCTAATCGATTTTCCGCTTAAATATAAAATCTAATGTACAAATACGTATAGTACACAAATACTTTATGAAAATAATAAAACCAGTTGTTGCCATAGATCAGTGGTGAGCGAATCCGGCACGCGATCGTCTATTAACCGGCCCACCAAAGTATTAAATCAAAATTGAAAAAAAAAAAATAAATTCAAATTTCAAAAATAAACACTCGCATCAAAAAAAGAAATGTTTATACTTTACATTTTTTTTTTTCCGCCAAGAATTGTTATTTTTTATGGCCCGCTGTAAAAAAGATTGGTCACCACTGCCATAGATGATCGAATTATCGAAATTGTGTAATTTAAAAAAAGACCCATAGGGTTGGTTGGCAACTATTGTCCGTCCGAATTTGTTTGAAATCAAAAGTCAAAGGGAGCAAGATGGACAATCGACCGACAAATAAACTACCAACCGGACAATTAACCGACAATAATATCTTTATAAAGTAGTAATTTGAAATGCCATGAAATTTAAATTTGAAATACATTTATGAAAATCTACTCATAAAAAAATAATTTTAAAAAGACTGCCATACTTAGCACGATGAGTGAGCCACTGTTGTAGGCGGGAATTTGGGAAGGTTAGATACAGAGGGGAATTTAATGTATATCTGTGTGCAACGATTACATTTTTTTTTTTTTTATTTTTCTATACAATTTCTAGGTATATTATGATGAGTGTAATTTGATGTAAAATTTATATTGTGATTATACACACGTGTAACGACATGGGTGTTATAATGTGCGTGCAAAAAATAAAAAATAAACGAATAGCAATTATTATTTATTAACAATTATTTTTACTCACAATTATTGTTATTGGTTTTTTTTTTTTTTATTATTATTGTTATTATTTTTAGTGAATTAGTAATCCGCGTTATCGCGATAGCGGGTTATTTCGAGATTTAAACTGTTTCGTAAATATACGACTTTATTTTCATTATTATTCATTTAAAATGAAACTACATCGCATGGCATGGCCAAATGACCTCTTTATATATTATTGTCGGCCGATTGTCCCCGTCGGTATTCTTGTTGTCGGCCGATTGACCCCGTCGGCGTGTTTGCTGTCGGTCGATCGACGCGTCGCCTACCGCGTACCGCCGGTGGTACGCGCGTGTACCATTGTCCGAGAACCGCTAGTCTCAAACATACCGATTGGTTGATCGTATTCGACAACACCAACAATAATGCGGCGATACAAATTCATCGTGTAAAAACAATTCGAATTGCTCATCTATTGCGTTATTGTCGCGTAGTTGTTTTTGATTCGTTACACTAACGGCTCATTCGCGGGTCTACATTGCCTACCTACCCGCCTATGTATATTGTTGAGGAGCCGAGTCACATACGATTATTATGTTTGCCCGTTTTAGTTTGGTCCACGATGTATTATCAGACGAAGAGTCATCGTCGACGGAAACGACAGTCAACAAGAACGTTGAAAGCAATAGCGCTTTTAACGTATTTTCCACGTTAGATGACGATCAAACCGAACGAAAGCCCAAGTAGGACATACATTCAAGTATAAATACGTATAATGCATATTAATGTTACACACAATATTCAAGTTTAACGTGCGTATGGTGTTACAGTTCAATTGTTCGTTCTAGGAATGAGAAAAGGAGGAGAAAATTACCCGAATTACCAAAAACCAGAAGTAACGTTTGTTTTTATTTTTGATTATTAAACGATGAGCCGAATGTCTTCGAGGGTACAGTTTACATTTATCAATATACACGTGTCTACTACTTTGCTTTTATTCGCCATTTCCTTCAATCGATTAATTCGTCAATCGTTTATTCGTCTTAACATATTAGGGTATTTTCACGCGAGGGCGACACAAATAGCAGCTGACCTCACTAAAGGCGAAGAGATATTATAAAAAGATAGGCAAGACGTTTTTTTTTTTTTTTTTTTTTATACTGTTGATAATAAGCAAATAGTTTACGTAAAAAAAATCTAACAGTGCTCCACATAAATCCGCATTTCGGGAGGGGATGGTTCATCGTTGGCTGTTTCATTTTCAAGTTATTTTATACATAATATATGCAATATACATGTATATTTATTTTGGAAATTGTACACATTTGATGAGACCCCTTTACCCAAATAATCATAATATATAGGTATACCTTACCTTAACTAATAAATCGTTGTTCCATAATGTTTTGTCTATCACTGTACCAAAAAACTGAAAGTACACGCAAATTAGTAACGAATCTAAAGTTAGGGAAGTGTAGGTCAGCTATTTCCGAGAGGCCACATTTTAGGGCCAATTAAAAGGACCAAGGACACACCTGTATCCTTTTTTTTTCTTTTAGGAGGGCTAAATACAATTATTAAAGGTCACACGGTTTGGCTGGTATAAATATGTATTATGTACAGACACGGGTAGTATTCTGAATAATTTTAACAAGAATATTTTTTATTTATCTCGTTTTAGAGTATTAAATGTTTAATTTCAAGAAGTTTGATTTATTTATTTATCGGTAAACAATTTTTTGGTTAGTAAAAATGTTCCAATTTGTTAACGCGTTACTTAAAAAGATGCGCAATTTTTCACCTGGTGGTTTTCGATTTAAAACATTTTTAAAAATTTTCATTAATTGTGTATTTTGAAAATACTATTGTAAAGCGTTCGAATACATATTCAGAATATTATTTTCTGTATGTATTGCAATATTCATTCTAAATACCTTTCAAAATAATTTTACTCAAGTCTTCTATTATTAATATTATTATTATATACTGAAATACATTAGCTTCAGTATACAAATTTTAAGTGTACATAATTAATAATTTTTCAGTGTTCAATCAGGTTGGGGGTTTAAGGTACTAATGTATTGTTTTGTTTTTATTATTAAAAATTAGTAAATTGTAGGTTATACATGTAGAATTTGATCAGTTGTGCGAGCATATTTCATCGTACTACCACTGCAGAACCACAGATGATAAATATGAATAATATAATAATAAAATTAACAGTAAAAATGTTGATTTCCAGATTCCGACGATCTTTTTTTTTCTATCTCATTTGGCAATAATGTTACTATTTTAAATGAGGATTGGGAAATACCCCCGACAAAACACGCCGAGTAGGATAAAGTTATAATTTTAATAACACAGTTCGCCAATTTTATCAGTAAAAATTAACTGTGGGTCAGGGGACTCCCCGGGAAATCTATTACAAAAGACGAAAATTGATTCGTTTAAAATACTATCGGCCATATCTTTTAAGGCGGTCGAGTTATTTTCTTCTACGATTATACTAAAAAGTGTTTTTTACTACAATAAAACTAAACGCTTTTTCACTTTGCTTAGAATGTTTTTATTACTATAGGTACCTATATTGATTAGAGTAAAGAGGACATTTGGCCTGTTAATAAAATGATTAACCGAAATGATTAATTAACCGATACGAATCATTTTTAAATGTATAAAGCAGGTTCGGTGTTAAGCTTAGCAGACGAATTAGGAGAAGTGTTTTCATCGGACAGAAGGAAATCGTTTGTATCAGGGCTACGAGATTACGAATGCAGATCTCCGGATTCGGGCATATCATTAGTTAATTCACCAGAAAGAGCTAAATCCAGTTCACCGCAACAAATCGGTAACGTATATCTGTAATGAAAGTAACTTTTAAACAAAACATTGAAAATATATTTAGACTCGTTTATGTACGTAGACACTCCGACCCCCGCATCGTCGTGTTCCTCGGGCCTTCCATTATCTCAGTTGGAGCTCTTGGAAGCTACGCACAGGGGACTGTACAAATTCGTTCCTAGACATCGAGATGAAATGGAAGTCGATATTGGCGATCCGATTTACGTGCAAAAAGAGGCCGAGGACTATTGGTGTGAAGGTACAGTACAATACTTAGTTTTCGCTAGAAAATTTACCGTCTATTTGCACTTTACACGTATGCCAGGCGTAAACCTCCGTACTGGATCTCAAGGATCGTTTCCATCCGCGTACGCCGTGGACGTGGATTTTGCGGATTTCGATTCTGCGACACCTAAAGTGAAACGAGAACGGTTTCTACTCGGATACATGGGTTCGGTAGAGACCATGTGGCACAAAGGCAATTCCGTGCTGTGTCAAGCTATTCGCAAGATAACCGAACAACGGCCCAATTGTAAACCACAGTCGTGTATACTCGAAGTGTCGGACCAAGGGCTTCGAATGGTTGACCGTGCCAAATCGTCTTCAATGGTAAGTGAATAACTAAAATATTAAAACGCAATTCACAATGGACTCGTCATTTACATGATACTCTCTACAAAACTATACGATGATTCGTTTATTAAGTGACGGACAGTTGATACGCACACCGATTATAAATACAGCACAACAGTAAATCGTACCACACATTTTTTTATTCAGTTTTCATAATTTATAACACATATTTTGGGAGATTATTTTTAAAAAAAATATCCAGATTTCTGTGTACGTTGTGTTCCACTAGGTTGGCACCGGCACCTTAAATGGGTTATGATTTCGCTACTTCTCAGTTTTTTCTAGAATCCAGGAAAATTCAAAATGGTCGGCACATTGCTCGAATAATTCAAAAGTAGTATCGAATACCCAGACGATTTTGCTACAGAATCAACAGAATTTTCTACTTGCTGGTTTTTCACACGGCTAAATATACAGGCATGTCAACAAAATAACACAGCGCATAAAATAAGGCAGCCATTGGCGGACATCATAGAATAAATAATTTTATTGCCGATTTTGTCATCGTTATCGTACAATCTCCAAGTAATAACACGACACCACGTCTTGATAGCTGCCAAATTTACATCAGATGAAATATGGCCGACACTGGCGTAAAATACGCAGTGATGGTGTTTTTGGTTATCTTTTTGACATACCTGTATATCTAGCTATGTTTTTTTTTTTATATAAACCGAAAACAAATACAAGGCTAAACACATAAAACAAATATTGGACATATCAGATATAAGTGGAAGTAAATTTTAATGTGGATTTTTTCACTAGAAATCAAATAATTAAGCGCCTACCTACCTTATAAATATATACAAACACTTAAATACAAAATAATGAGAATCATTATTTATGTAAATAAGAGTACATAAATTGAATTAAAACAATTTGTATTTAAAATAAATACATAAAAAGGTGTTCTACGATAATGAGGACGGGCGCAGCCACTGTTATAGGTGAGAAGTTGAGAAGGTAGAGGGAAAATTTAATGTTTATCTAACGAAAAACGATTCTGAGCGAAGTTCGATTAATAGTATTGTATTTTCAACAATTTACATATATTGTATTAACATATAAATATATACATATGTCACATTATTTCAAAATAATTACACAAGTATTTTATGTTTTCTTTAATAATATTTGTTTAACATCTATCTATTTTCTCATTTTTTAAAAATGTTTTTCCCAATTATTGGGAAAATCAAAAAATGACCTCTTCAAAATATCTCAATAGTCAGATTTTCTTTTAGAAAATGTACTATCATTGTAAATCGGAGCAAAATTACTGGTAGACAAGTTGTCCAAAAAAAAAAAAAAAAATTAACATCATTGTAAAACCATTATACTATTATACTATTATACTACTACTTTATATAATATTACTTAGTTTTAGAGGCATAAATTACTTGTAAAATTAATAACATTGCGTTACAAGATACAACAAAAATTCACAGCAAAAATATAATTTTTTTTTTTGAAGTAGTAGCGACAAGTGCCGGTATCAATTTGACGGAAGTTCCCATATTTGTATTTTTCTACAGACTAAAAAATAGAAATTTGTATCAAAACAACTGCTTTTATTGTATAGTAATATCTAGTGTTGAATATAATACCAGGTGATCTATTTAAGTGGGTACACTCATTATCTCGGAAAGCATTAACTTTTTTCGTTATTTGTATTCTAGAACATATAAGAAACAAACTGCTCTACAATTTTATATTTATGTGATTTTTTGTTACCCTTATTTTTGGGAGTAAAACTACCACCTACTTTTGATTTCCAAATGTAAATCTATATTACAAATTTCAGAAATAGAAGGAATATTATATAAAATAAATTTTAGTGTAGACATTTTTTATTTCTGTTAACCCATTTACGAGATATTCCACTTTTAAGTATGGGTTAGAGGAAAGTAGTGGTACATTATTAATACGCCGCCCACCGTACAGCCACACAAATTATACTCAAATACTCTCCTCCAACCAATACCTAAAAGTGGAATATCTCGTCAGAGGGTTGACAGAAGTCAAAAATGTTACCCACTAAAATGTATTTTATCTAATACTCCATCTATTTATGCATTTGTTAATATAGGTTGCCTTTTGAAAATCAAAAGTAGAAAGTGGTTTTACCCTTAAAAATAAGGGTGACAAAAATAACATAAAAATAAAATTGTAGAGCTGCTTGTTTCTTAAATTTTCTGGAAAACAAATTCCGATAAAAGTTAATACTTTCCGAGTGCATCCACTTAAATGGATCGCCTAGTACAATATTCATTTTCAATATGGATTTTATTTAAAACATCATAATTTACCTATAATGTACTTTTAAATGTAACAGAATAGAGAATCGAGTACACCGTGTCAAGATTATTTTTACTCTTTAAAGAACGTATCGTTTTGTGCATTCTATCCGGAAGACAACCGATATCTGGGATTCGTTACCAAACACCCGACGTGTCAGAGGTTTGCGTGTCACGTGTTTAAAGCCAACGAATCTTCGAGACCAGTAGCGGAAGCGATTGGGTAAAAGATTTCACTCGTACTTTGTTCGTTCCAAAATTATAACAATAAACACCCTATTCGTTTTCTTAGACGTGCTTTCCAAAGATTCTATCAGAAATACATTGAGACCGCGTATCCAGTGGAAGACATATACATCGAATGAGTGGAAGAATTACCCGCGGTTGGCGTGTTACTTTTACATATTATTACACGGGAGGACCGAGGACTATTCAATGTTCATGGCTATAAACATCATGGACAATAATATAATGACAAAACCGAGTGTAATGTTTTTAAAACTGAGAAATGGTGCAATAACTTGTGATAAAATATACTACCAAATGTATTTCATTGATATTTAGATCAGTATTATAATGTTTACTCTATTAAATGTTCCCAAATGCGCATTAATATTGTCCCCATAACAAGTTCTAAAGGAATTTTCATTAGGAATAAGGATATTTTAATATAGGTACTTACTTTCCCATAATTATTGTATATTATTAAAAATTATGTTTTTATGATTATATTTGTTATTATTGAATTAATGATAATACTAGAATTAAAATAAAATATAATTTTATTGAACCAGTTATAAGAGTTAAGCAGTTGATTTAATTTAAATTATTATAATTCATTTTGAATCTAAAGCTGGTTCACTGGTTTAACGCGGGTAAATTGACAAATACTATTTTTTGTCAAATAAATACACCTATAAAGCTTGACATTTATAAACCAATATTGTAATTTCCTATCATAGTGTATGATCAATTTACTGACTTTTTGTTAATCGACTGATAAGTTTCGGACGTTATTAAATTAAAATGTCGAACCAGCGATAAAATACTGGAAAATTCATTACATACCATTTTTACTCAAATTACAATTGCACAACATGGTATATTTTAGAATCTATTATGAGAAGTAACATTTAAAATTCCTTTTAAGCCGATTAAATTAGTAAAATCTTGCTGATATGCATGGGTATAATGCCATTACAACTGTAAATTATATTATACATATTGATATTAGGTATACTAGGAATTTAAATTAACAATTGGGACTAATGAAAGTTTAAAACATTAAAATTATCTAGTTAAAAATTTATATTTCAGTCAATTTTTCTTTCTATATATAGTTTCATAATTTAGAAGATTCAGAAGTCATTTTACCTATAATATCAAATGAGTAACGTATAAATGTATATATATATATTAATAGGCACATAATATACTTAGATCCTTAGGTAATATAGAACATATTAACTCAATAAATTGTGCATTCAAAATTTGAAATTTAATTTTTAGATAATATCATCTACGAAAAGAAAATTTACATTTTAAAATTATTGTCATATTGTAATGTTTAATAATAAAGTTATAAAATATATTATAAAAATTATATATATATATATATATATAATTTTTTTTAAATCAAGAGTATTTTTAAAGCAATTATCTAATAATCAAATAATTGACAACAAGATGTAAAGAAAAATATATGTATAATTATTATGTACCTACAAATTTTTTTTTCAAAAAATAACGATGTACATAGACATGTAGTTATAGTTCAATATAAAACTTGAATATTAAAATAGACAATGTCAAAAATGAGTTAATATCACAGAAATTTTCCACCAACTCAACACCCAATTATAATTAATTTAATCAGTAAATATGTTATTTTCTTTCTGGTCTCATTTGGCTTCTAGGTCCACTTTTCCCATTATTACCTTTGAACGTATTTGGTTTCACATTTTGTTTTCCTGCTCCTGTTCGCCTTGTATTACTAATTGTATTTCCATTGGCTCCAGGAGGTGGGAGAGGTGGTGGTGCATTAAGGTTTACTTCACTCATATTGATGGATTCACTGAATGTCATGATAAAATCACCAATTTTTTCAATTTCACCATTTTTTCCAACATAGAGTGTAAGGCAGTTCCTGAAGTAAATTGCATAAGCTCTATGAATACGTATTATATCACCAGGAAATAAAATTGCACCAGCTTCATCCCAGACTGAGAAATTGATGCTCGCTGAACTATCAGCTACTTTAACAGTACGCACTTCATGGTTGTCTTTAAGTGGTACAGCAGGATTTACATCCAATACTATGCACATAACTGTAATGTTATTCATATTATTTTGAATGTCTTTAATCAGCGTTAGAGGAGTATCTGGAATAATGGATTTTTGTTTATTTATACCCATCATTTCGATATACCTATTTAGGTTTTTTTTTTATTTTTAACTAGGTACTTAGTTATATATTTTTTTAATTTAATTATTTCTAGGTTATTAGTAAACTAGATATTAACTAGTTACTTATTAGGTATGTTCTGTCTGAAAAAAAAAATTAAAAACAAAATAATTAAAATAAAAAAAAAAAAAAACGAAACACTATTAAACATCACTTTTAATTGAATCCAAAAATAAAATTCATTAGTGTAACTATTTCATAGTAAAAAAATTAAAATACTTCACTAAATACATAGATAGACAATCATAAAACGTGTCGTTAAATAAAAGAACCGTATCATGTGAAAAATAAAAGAACCATATCATATGAAAATATTCACTTCATTAAGGACGGTTAATGAATGGAAATCATTTCAATTTTAGTTTTCGTTTTTGTCAAATGATAATATTTATTACAATTTTATGTTACCAATCTACCCGTTTAAAGGTCCATATATTTTTAAACTGTTAGGTAGGTAGATAAGATTGTTGTATAAGAATAAGTCTATGCTATGGCTATGTAGGTATTATTGATAATTTGATGACAGGTTGTTGGATTTCATGAACAGTTTTGTAACAGGGAAATATCAACTTATTAATGAATTAATATAATTTGTACAAAATAAAACAATACCGATAATATGTAAACGGTATTAAAAACTGAAAGCTTTCTATTTCTACATTTTTAAATATTATTCAAAACAAAAATATATAGGTAGGCATGATGCTTTTGTTTTATTAAAAATTAAATTTCAATGAAATAAATGATTTATCATTAAGTTTAGTAAAATTATTAGATATGAGACCAATTTCAGGATTGGAAAAAAAAAAACACAGTCTTGTAAAATATATACCCATATATGTTTTTATGTTGTTATTTGTATTTAATACCTGTTTATTATGATTATGATGCGGTGAATTCAAATCTGAAATCTGTCTCTAAACGGGTCAGTTTTTTTTTTTTTTAATATTTTTAATTGTTAAAAATTAAATAAAAGTAAGATAAAATTCATTATTATGCTTATTTATTTAAAAAACATTAGTCAAGGTTAATTAAACTAAAATTAAAACAAATAATTTACTAAAATATGTATGGTTTTTTTTTTAGTTGGAAACATATATTTTATATACCTACATTAAAATTGAACAAATGAGATATGATAGAGAAAAATGGACTTCAGTTATGTATTCAGCGCATGCATATCTATAAAGATCACAAACAACAGTAACTACCACAACAAAAAAACATTTCATAAGACTGTAATAATTAATCTTGAAGTAAATATTTGAATGAATCGGGTAATATTAATATTTAGATTTATTTCACATAAAAATGACTTAGACTATTAATAACAGTATTAAATTGAATACCAAATACTTTTTGCAATTGGATATTTGTTGAGTAGGTAGGTATATCAATTTAAAAAGTTAATATAATGATAGAACGATATAAGTAACGCTGTTATGGAAAAAATTATGTACCAAGTTGAATCCATTCGTTCATGCTGTTATTGTGTAGCAATAAGTTGCTCATTACACTTTCCTTTTTTTTTTTTTATGTAGATAATTCACCATTGTTTAAAGAAGTATGATCATAAAAATATTTGTCAAAAATAATATTATGAAATGTACAGAAGTTGTACAAGTGTTTACATTCGCATAATATAATTTTTAATGTACCAATAAACAATTTAAGTTGCAAGTAGATAACTAGATGCTAAGATGTTTATTGTGTATGTTAAACTTTGAACACTTTAGGTTATACATTTTTATTAAAAATCTCAATTTAGGACTACTTAGGTATCTATCTATTCAATTGGGTCTATAGATAGTAAATAACTATTGCATAATAAAATGGAGAAATCACTCGGCTGTAGTGTATATCGATACAATTTAATAGGTATCTAACCTACCTAAGCACTTCTAAATTGAGTATTTTAAACAAATTTAAAACTTAAGGTGTTAAAAATTTAACGAGGTACTTACCTATTGAATGCCTAACCTATTAAATAACATTATAATGTATCTCATTGTGTTGGATGACATAAAATAAAAATATTAACAAGTTCATGTGTCTACTTACCCTTCAGTGTTATTCGAGACACTAGAACGTCTTGAATTTTAGGAAACCGTCATTGCATCGGACGTAGGATAATGACTAGGTATCTGGAATTGTTTAAACTTAACGAAACAACAGTTCCTGGTGCGATACACGCCTAGTTCATCAATTTTATCATAGCGAAATAAAATGAAAAACCGACGAATAGAGTCGAGACCAACCTCATTTTTTTTTCAAACATCACTCATCCACTCCGCTGGACTCGTTTGATAAGACGAGACTATCAGCCGCAGTGTGCCGGGCAAATCGGACGTGTAACTCCCGCCGAACGGGCATCTTAATTCATGATAGTAGCAGCTATACCACGGCTTAGGAAACCGTGGTTAACTACTGGTTATCATGCTTGAACATGCTGGCCTGCCTGATAGTGAGTGATATTATTATTAATAACAATAATAGTGTTTATAAATTATACAGATAAATATTCAAATATGAATTATTGTTGCCTTATGCAATTTTTAATCTACTATTATTTTTAGTTTAATAACGCGTAGCGTTTTATAGACGTTGTCCGTTAAGTTTTTTTTTTCAATTTTTTTTTTTTTTTTTTTACATAACGTATACGAATAAATAGAAAAAAGAATCATTTTCAATGAACAATCTTTAATCGAGTTATAAATTAAACAATAATAAACGAACAAAATATAAAATATTGAATTAATGCCCGGTTCCTGCATTTAATATACGTTAAACGGTACGGTATTTAAATTTAAGTTATACTTAATTTTTGTTTTGTTTTTTTTCTGGAAGTAAATATGGGTATCAACTTATATTGTTAAATAGTTTGCTTAAATAAAAATGTTTTCATATTTCGATTTAATGTTTTACTTTCTGTTGATACAGTTCCAATGCATTTCATTAGAATGGTTCCCAAATTACCATTAGACATCACTGTGCCACAATATGCACTGCGTAGACGAGGAGCAATATGTGTGTCTGTTATTTCACATGATTTATGCAAGGTAAGTGCTTTATTTTATAATATGTCGGCCAATTATTCATATATTGACATATTATTACGTACCTAAATTGTTTTGTAGGTACCTTATAATTTTGTCTAATAATGTTTGTATAGCTGTAAATATTTATTTAGGTCATTAGTGTTATTGTAGTGTTGTCGGCTGTCTAATTAGATACCTGTGACTCAATAATTTAATGGTAGGTAGGTCAACTAATACATAGTAGTCAATTGACTTGGTTTTTATAATATGTGGCTAAGAAAGTTTAATATATTACTTGATATAAATAAATATTTGCATCGGTGATCTATTCCACATCCAGTTTTATTTTAATGGAATTTCATATTAGCTAACCTATTTTTAAATAGTTTATCTTTAAGTAAAATTCTGTAGTACTGTGATAGATATAATATTATGGCGTATATACACCATACAATAAAATCGATAGCAATAGTTACACTATTACAATGGTTTTGTATTAGTTGAATGATCAATTGATTACTTAACATTACATTTTAGTATTACAATTTTGCTTACTTTCACTTTAATGTAAATCAATCTTTTCAGTAGAATATTAATTTAATGTTCACCGATTAAAGTCTTTAGGTTACATACTGATTTTAGGTAGGAAATCTATATAGGTAGCTTACAAGAGATTTTTGATATTTTATACTTTGCAAATTACCACACTTATCACATATGTTTTCTTTTAACTTTTTTGGTATTATCTTATGGACAAGAAAAAAAAAATATAGGTAAATAAACAGTTTCAAATATACATTAGTTTTGTTTATTAATCTTTGTCGTAATTTTTAATTAAATATATTTAAAACTTAAACTGTTATTATGATAATTACATATTTATTAAACCTTCTGATTTTTCCCATCATCAGTTGTAGTTAACTCGTTTCTAATAGAGATTGTGATGTGTAATAAGCGCGGTTGGGATTTACAGCATTTCCTCATTTGTTTGATTTGACTTTAAATTTAGCAGAGTGTTATAGAAATTGATGATAGTGCTTTTTAAAATTAATGTCATGTTACAACAAGCCTAACTGTGCAATTTAAAAGAGTTTTTCCTGTTTATTTTGGAACTAAAAAAAATAAAAAATTTGTTTACTGGATTTTTGGTTTTTAATTTTTTGATTTTATGATTACATAGGTCACTGACAAAAACATAAATTTCTCCCCCCTGAAATGGATAAATAATCTCCCCTTTGTTGTCTATTATTCAAATTATATTTGTTTGTTTTCATTATCTTGTTTACTTGTGGTGTTGATCACCAATGGGGATAGGGTAAATGGAATCCAAGAGTTTTAGTTTTAGAAAGATTCAAGAGCTCTAATACTAAAATTGAAATTACTTTTTTTGATTAATTTGATAGTTGAAAAAAAAAATACTTTTTGCCAGTATTTTGTTTTATTAGTGTTTATTTCAGCACTTAAAAACTTATCAAGTTTTTAAAGGGTTTAAAGAACTTTTCAAAACCTATTTATGTTAATTTTAGATGCAATAACTTCGGAATTCTGATAATACATATCCCAACAATAAAAAATAAAATAAATGTGATATTTTCGTTTTAGATATGGAATACTTACTATTAACTAAATAATAAAGCAAATTTTATTGATATTGATAATGGTAATTATATAAAAATACATATTTTTGTATGTCTTGGTTATATATTATATATATAGTAATATGTAATATTATATATAATATTGTTTGATTCATAAAATTATTAATTTTTAATTTGATTAAAACAAGTTTTGAAATTTGGTGATTGCAGTTTAATACTAAAAGTTTTAATATTTAGATTTAATTATTTTTACCTAATCAAATGAAGTCCTTATCTAATTAAAATACTGATTAGGGCCTCAGGGTTAATCACTGCTTA